GCAAGATTGGGCGTTTTGTAATCGTGGAGGCAATTGGAATCGATCTGCATTAAAAGTTTTCAATTCCAGGACCAAGTCCATTTTCGAGAAAAACGTGATGTAACCCCTTGCCATTTTGGTCATTTTTGGACATCTCCCAGAATCAGGATTTTTGAATGCGAATCGAAGGTCCTGGTCCGTACGAGTCGAAAGAGGTATATCACTCCGATATCGAGCGAAAAATAGCGGAGATATTCAAGTTTTAAGATTTTCCGAAAATTTCAAATGGACATAACTCGAGTATTTGAAATCCGATCGTAGCAAGATTGGGCGTTTTGTAATCGTGGAGGCAATTGGAATCGATCTGCATTAAAAGTTTTCAATTCCAGGACCAAGTCCATTTTCGAGAAAAACGTGATGTAACCCCTTGCCATTTTGGTCATTTTTGGACATCTCCCAGAATCAGGATTTTTGAATGCGAATCGAAGGTCCCGGTCCGTACGAGTCGAAAGAGGTATATCACTCCGATATCGAGCGAAAAATAGCGGAGATATTCAAGTTTTAAGATTTTCCGAAAATTTCAAATGGACATAACTCGAGTATTTGAAATCCGATCGTAGCAAGATTGGGCGTTTTGTAATCGTGGAGGCAATTGGAATCGATCTGCATTAAAAGTTTTCAATTCCAGGACCAAGTCCATTTTCGAGAAAAACGTGATGTAACCCCTTGCCATTTTGGTCAATTTTGGACATCTCCCAGAATCAGAATTTTTGAATGCGAATCGAAGGTCCTGGTCCGTACGAGTCGAAAGAGGTATATCATTCCGATATCGGGCAAAAAATAGCGGAGATATTCAAGTTTTAGGATTTTTCCGAAAATTTCAAATGGCCATAACTCGAGTATTTGAAATCCGATTGCGGCAAGATTGGGCGTTTTGTAATCGTGGAGGCAATTGGAATCGATCTGCATTAAAAGTTTTCAATTCCAGGACCAAGTCCATTTTCGAGAAAAACGTGATGTAACCCCTTGCCATTTTGGTCATTTTTTGACATCTCCCAGAATCAGGATTTTTGAATGCGAATCGAAGGTCCTGGTCCGTACGGGTCGAAAGAGGTATATCATTCCGATATCGGGCAAAAAATAGCGGTGATATTCAAGTTTTAGGATTTTTCCGAAAATTTCAAATGGCCATAAGTATAATGTAAGTATAATAATGACCAATCGCGGAGATTAAAATAAGTTTCCTGTTTGTAAGCACGTTTGTATGGATGAAGGTATGTATCTTTGCATATACACACACATATATATATTTTTATTTAAAATCTGCCCAGTTATTATTATTAGGCAATAACTATTTTTTTTTTTGGCAAAACGTTGAAAATGAAATATTACATATTTATGCATATTTGTATTGTATATAAAACGCAAACTAAGTTGTGGTGCAATTTAAAAATAACCTATTTGATAAAAATATTGTCTTACTATGCGATTCTCATAACTTCAAGTAAATCTTCCTGCTTGTCATGCTTCTTTTCAGAAGTTCTATATTAACAAGCTGTGTTGGCAAAATAACATAGCTTGCTCATTCTCTTAACTTTATTCACTAACTTATTTATTAATTGTTTATTGTTCTCTAGGGATGTGTATTATATATATAAAGATACACTTTCAAATTGATGGCAATAAAAAAACAACAGTGGATGTGAGTTCTTGGGTAAGTGCATAGCTATATAGATATTTATATTGAAACAAGAAAAATAATTGATTAATAATTACATATTGGTGTATTATTATTTTTTTAAGTTTGAATGGTTTTTAAGTAAAATAATGTGTAAAAGTTGTGGCATTAAAACAGACGAAGTTTTAATTTGTATAGATAATAATAATATTGACATAAATGTAATTTAAACAAGTGGCCAATTTTGTCTATGAATTTCGGTCGCACCTTTAAGCTGTTTATATTGGGATTATAACTAAATTGGTTTAACATTTTGCTTTTGTGAATGCTAACAAATTTCTAGGCTTAAGTTGAAGAGGGTTGAGTTTACCTTTGATAATATCAGCACTGTCATCTGTCCGTTGCCAGAGCTGCAAACCCTTTCGCCAGACTGCAAGGAAAGCCCGGAGATGCTTGTAGACAAGTTAACGGGTCAGCACATTCCATTAAATTTCCCCACGAACGTCGACAGTAAAATAAATTACTTTCATTTTTGTTTTTTTGGCAACTTTTCCGGCTTAGGCGAAAACAAGTTACGCTTCCGCGGCAAGTCACAGCTCAACTCTTGGAAAAAAAAGTATATCCAGACGTTGTCCCTCTTTTTTTTTTTTTTAGATATAATTTGGTCCACAGAAACTTTAATTAGATCACTTGAATGACAAACATAAATCTCTTGCTGCAATAATAAAAGCAGTCAAACAAATTGAGATTGAGGGCTCAAAACCGAATCCGTTTGGCAGCGAGGGGGGGGGGGGGCGGTTGGGCGGTAAATGTGAAATGCTTGAAAAGCTCTCCATGCAAACTTTTACAAACTAGTGAAAAAATCTCAAGCCTCAAATGAAAATGGAAATGAGTTGAGCTGACGTTTCTATGGCAGCCCGAGGGATGGCCGTGGGGGGAGGCGGGGCAGGGATGCACAGCTGGAGTGTGGGGCGCGACAAGTTGACATCAAAGTGAGGGCAATGCTTGCAGTTGTTCGTGTGTGTGCGAGTGTGTGTGTGTGCGGTTAAAAAGCTCCGGGGTTAACAATGACGTCATAGTTGTGTGTTTGTGTGTGTGCAAACTATTTTGTCGTACGCATTTCGTCATAAGCGAGAATAATCAATAAACCAGGCAGACACAATGACGCAGCCAACGTGACATAATTCCAATATGAACAGCACCCACACCGATAGGTCGAGGGTCAGGTCGCGGGTCGCGGGTCGCGGGTCGCGACGCGGGTGGCGGTTCGTGGGCTGCACAACGCGGGTGGCGGGTCGTGGGTCGTGGGTCGCACCTGGCCAACTGAGAAAAACGTAAACAGCCCCAACATGGAATTCAATTAGAAAACTTTTGGCACGGCCAACAAATCTGTCGATGGTGCAGGGCCTGACGGCAGCGCAGCGCAGCGCTTAGCCTTCAAGAGAACATCCATTTGCCCGTTCCCCATGCCCTGGCCCCGGTCTCGGCCCCATGCCCGGCACGTGTACTCGTTTGTGCCCATCAACACCTTGGCGCAACCTTCGTCCAGCCTAAACCCGATTTAATATTTTGTTCCTAGTTGCCAAATATGCTGCCCGCTGTGTCAGTGTGCGAAATGCAACAACGTGTCGTTCACACTCACACCTTCAACGCACGCTCTCTCTCTCTCTCGCTCTGTCTCGCTCTTGATTTTTCGTACGAGGCGCAGCTTCCAAATGGGATGGAGGAGGGGGTTGCGTGCTGTTAGGCACCTGGCGAACTTCACTTTGGCTTTTGCGTTGCTTCCTTTGCCTTCAATATTCGCCTGGCTGTCAAGCGCTTTTTGACGTTTCGCGCTGCCATGTGTTGAGTTCTGCGCGTGGGAGAGAGAGAACGTCAGATAGTGAGAGAGAGAGAGACTGGCACTGAGAGAGCGCAAGCTTTCACCACAGTCATTGTTTGCCTGGTTCGTTACCTGGCCTAGCGACTGCTTCGTTATTTTTCGGACTATTGAGTGAGATTTGTGCAGGAGTCACTAAAAAGTTGCTCCTTGGTGTGGGTGTGGGTGTGGCTGTGGGTGTGGTAGCTGGGCGGTTGAGAATATTGTTGGTGTTAGGTCTTGCGTGCCGTTTACTGTGAGGTTTTTATAGGGCACCTAAAGAAACAGTAGATCACTTTGATAAGCAATTAAGCACATTTAACTTAGTGCAGTTAATGAATTTAGCTGCAGGAAACGACCCTTTTCAAAGAGTTCAAGCATTTAAAAAGTTACAAAAAGAAAGTACCTAGTGTATAAGTAATATTGTAATCTAAATAAATAACTGTTTATTTGCATCTGGGAAAAGGTTAGCGTGCCGAAATAGTTCACTTTGTGAGATTTTCACGCTTTCCGTTTGAAAAGTGAAATGCCCTTCTTTGCGATTCGCACAAGGCCAAAGCAAATTTATATTTGGTTTTGATATTATTTTATTTAGAGAATACTTGCTGGTATGCCTCTTACTCTATTCGTTTTGTTCTTCTATTAGCATACGCTCTCGTTCTAACGTGCTTGATATCATTTCCTATAAAATATCAGAATTCATTCTGATTATCATGATTATTATTTTCTTTTATGATTGTAACTTAAACTGATTATACTTTTTTGTAGAGTACATTTTTTCTCTCAGTAAGTTTTATTTTGTAGTGTCTGAAACCAGTGCTAAGTACAGGGTATCATTATATCGAGCAGCTATTTATGCTTAATACATATTTGACTCCTTGATTTATATTTAAAATGTACTTTTCATAAAACCACCTTTTATTGCTCTCACAAATTTACAGTGCACAATTATGACTGAATTTGACAGATATTTCCGACTGTGCTTCTGCTTCTGTTTTTGCTTCTGTTTTTGCTTCTGTTTTCATTGTAAAAGTAACGATTGTAGCAAACGAAACGAAAACAATTACATGAAAGAAATCCTCTGAAAAAGCACACGGGACGGAGTCTACGGCTACGGCTACGGCTACGGCTACAATAAAATAACAAAATCCAAACAACGCAAACTTTTGAGTGCAAACCCAACAAAACCAGAGACTGAAACTGAAACTGAGACTGCGACTGCGACTGAGCCCGTAAACCGCGATTCGAGACAGAGCTTTAATTTTTACTCGCCAGTCAGTCGCCTGTCTAGGGGGTGAGTTGTTCTTTGGAGGGGAGGTGGGGTTATACGGAAGTGGTGAGAATGTCGTGCTCAGTTCGTTGCGTATTCGGGCCCGATTCCGTTGCCTGACAAAGCCTACATTTTGGGGAAAAGCTCTGGGCCCGAGCACGAATGCGAAGACGACAAAGTTGGGCCCAAGCAGTCAGAGAAGTGGAGCCACACGGTCCAGACGGGACGCTCCGCAGTAACACAACAAAATCGCGCACCTTGGAAACGCAAAAGCAGAGAAAAAGAAAAAAAGAAAAATATTCTACAAAAATATTTAATTTCAAAAGTGTTAAAACCAAAAGCCATGGCGAACGCCAAAGGCAATTGTGATTTGGGAGCGCCATTTGTGCGCTGTTAAGTGTAGGTTCTGCAAACCAGTTGGGAATGCACAAAATATGTAGATACATTGTGGAGCCTGGAGCCATGTGCAGAGCATCAGCAGCAGCAGCAGCAGCACCAGCAGCAGCAGCAGCAGCAGCACCAGCAATAGCAATGGGAATACCCAGCAGATTTCTATAAAAATCAAAGTAATGTGCACGAAAATCCAGCAAATGAAACAGTTTTTTGTAACAGAAAATAACCTTGAGAGCGAGGTCCATAACTTCTTATTCAATAACAAAAACTAAAGCGCCGTGCACGAGTGCGTGTGCACTGAAAACACGGCCGTACAACATGGCGTATGGGTAATGAATGTGTTAGCACGACATATGCAGTAAATGTGCGAGGCAGCGGTGTTTAAATATTGCATTATGCACACACCGTGTGCGTGTGTGTGGCATGCCACTAGTGTGGGTGTGTGTGTGTGATTGTCTGCATGTGCTTGAGCTAGTGTATTGATGTGCTTGTGCTTGTGCTTGTGATGGTGCCAAATGAAATATTAAGCCAATTAATTCACGTATATGCTCTAACTCGTATTTATGTGGCATTCGACAACAACAATAATAACAACAACAACAACAACAACAAAAACGACAACAACTACAAAAACAACAACAGCAGCAACCACAACAACAACATGTTCGATGACGCATTCTAGAGTAGGGCAGAAGGTTAAATTACTACGGCAACGGCTACCGTCGAAATTCGCCACGTACAGCAATTCGGATTCGGAGTCCGAAAATATCAAAACCGATACCAATACCGAATCGCAGCACGCAGCTTGGCGATTTATAGGCGTGCGACCAACTATAAGCAGTTTCAGCTGCCACCATCTTCACCTCCAGCTCCTGCGTCGTCTTCGTCTCAAGCTGGCCAACAGCTCGGAGCTTGGAGCGCAAACACCACCCGCAATAACAAAGAGGCCCAGCAATTGTTGTTGCTGTTGCTGCTTTCGTGGTGAATTTGCAACAGACAACAATTCCATGTGCCATGGGCGCAACAAAAAAATCAAACTACAAATGTGACCGACCATAAGCGAAAAAACGTGAATTAACCAAAAAAAAAAAAATACAAAAAAGAAAAATACAAATAAAATTAACAAAGATATTAAAAGAATTTGCAAACAAAATACAAAGTAGTAAAGTGTGTGTGTGTGCTGCCGCTCTGAGCGCAAGTAAACCAGAGAGTGGGAGAGCGTGACGCGCAAAACTCACCACGCATTGGCCTCTCGTCGTCGACGTCGACGACGGCAACATTGTAAAAAACTTTCACTCTCGGCACAACGTGGCGGCGGGCGGTGCGACAGCATCGAGCAGGAAGCGCATAAAGTGACACACAAACACACGCACACATTCACATACAAATACAAATACACAAGCTCGTGCAAACTGGAGAAAGCCCACAGAAACTAAACTAAACAACACGAATATCCGCAACATCAGCAGCAGCAGCAGCGGCGTCGGCAGCAGCAAAGCAAAAGTTTTGCATGCCAGCAGCTGACTGCTGCAGGAAGCGTGCCAGGAGGGCGGGACAGCAGGAGAAGCGGGACGGGCAGGAGAAGCCACCAGTGAAGCGGACAGTCCGGTTCTGCCTGGCTGTCACAGCCATTGAATAGGCCTCTTCAACACGAACACTGGCACAGGATACAGGCCGAGCACACACGCAACGCAATTTAAATGTATCCTTAGAATTTCAAACAGGTGAGCGACATTCATTGAGGAAGTAACAAAACGGAAAAACAAAAAAAACAACCAACATCAACTAGCAAAAAGTTAAATGTTTATGTTGGGAAATGAACTAAAAGGCGAGCACAGTTTTTTCAAATATGCAGATAATGAATGCTCGAAATATTTTTAAAAGTAACTTATCAGCAATTCATGTCTTTTCATAAAGTTGAATAAATTACTGACATTAACTTGAAATGTTTCTTTTGATATAAACAATTAAATTGATCGAATCCCTGGTATTTGCTGTTTTTGAGAGAAGGATCATTCTAGTCAATATTTTTAAAATGGGTAATACAGATAATAGTAGAATATAGTGAAAGTATATATAGCAAAAATTAATTTTATGAAATGCTTTCGACAAAACTAGTTATTTTCGACTTTATAAGGTCATTTCCGATACAAAATCTGTGTTTTTGAGTGTTTTAATCTCAGAGATTATCGGAATTACAAATTTCATAAAATCATTTAAGAAAGTTTCAGTCAGAAGTGCTCGATTTAAGGTATCCTGTACACAATTGTCAACGGCTCCCAATATTGACAATATTGGAATACAGATCAATCTATATAAATCAATCTTTATTAAGCTGGCTTGAGGCACAGCTAAATAAAGATTTAAAATATGGAAAGGTCGCCATAGCCAAATATACTCATCCTTAAAATATTTGCTTTGTAAGCAATATGGAAATCCGTTTGTTAAAGAGAAGCTAATAAAATGCGAAGTGAAGCCTATAAAATCAGGATAGTTAAGATATGGATATGATAAATTTGTTCCTCAAAAAAGTCGTATGTCACTTTTATGCAGACTTTTATTATATTTTTTTTAAAGGATATATATTTAAAATGAATTTCCAACTTGATCTGCCCAACTTCTAATTTCTACGGGATAGACAAGAGCATGGCTAGCTCGCGCCGGCTTTATGTACATATGAAGTCGGTTCAAAGTCTATCCCAATATTAATACAAATTTTAGAAAATTTACCACTGCAAATTCGCCAATAGTTAGAGAATGTTTGTCATTTCTAGATATTTCCAGAGACTATTTCAAATGTGCTGTAGCTGGAATTTGTCGCTGCATTAATCAATTGTAGTTTTAAGCTTAACGAGGTGCTTTACCATGTGGTATCCTCATTGTATCATTTATCATCCGGCTCAAGCTAGCTATTAGATTGTTACATTGTCAAGAGGGTGGAGAAGAGGGTGGGGGCGGTGTCTGATGGGTGAAAATTAATAACGTAACCGTTGCACGCTCACATCGGCGCATAAGTAATAGTTATTTAATGAGTTTTTGGTCGGAATGCTGGCCAAAAAGTTGTTTGGCGCCGTGGCATTTAATTAAAATTTGCGCCTAATTAAACGTCAAACGCGAGCCGTGCCGTGCAGAGCTCAGCAGCTGACAGGACATTACTAGGCGCACCGGGCGTATGAGCGATTTGCATTTCCTCTCTTCAATAACTAGCTGTGCGCGTGTGTGTATGTGTGTGTGCGGCTGTGTGTGTTGACTTGTGCGAAATCCGTTGCCAAATTATTAGCGCCTATTTAGTGGCCTGTTATTGTTGTTGTTGCCAGTTTGCATTTTCGCTGTTTGCCATCAATTGCAAATTAAAATTGATTTCGAGCTGCGCAAATATTTTGCATGGCTGCATTCAACATTGTTAACTCCGAAAACAGATATGCGAACACACACAACATGATATGCCCGCATTTGAATACTTTATTCTATTAATGCCCCCAAGAGTATGCAATAGATTTATGTGCTGCTTTTTCTATTTCCTCGCTGTTCGCTTCTAATTGCAACTAAGTTGTGTGGCTGGCCAATTGTGGGCGGCATTGGGCGTTGGGCGTCGAGGGTGCGGCACCGGCGCCAATTAGCGTGCAATTTATGCAAGTGAAGATGTGTGCTTTAATTGCCATCGCACTGCCGCGACGCGTGTGCGTTTTGCATGGGGTTCGGGGCGTGGCAGATGAAGTGAAGTCAAATGTGATTCAAATTGAGTTATGCGAAAAACGAATCGATAGCCCGGTGGCCATGGGAACTGACGGGGTTTCCAGACAAACGTATTGTCTGCATGCTTAATAACATGGCAACAAAAGCGTGTGTGTTACGTGTAATCGACTATCAGATACTCTGCAGTTGAAATGGCAGATTCTTTTCATTCTCCTTGAAGTTATATTTATGACAATCAATGTGTATCTAACACTAATGTATTAGAGTGTTAACAATACGTTGCCCTTTTTATTAGAAATCCGTTTATAATACTATTTTGCTGATATTTAGAGGTATTTTTAATGTCTAATACATTTGATTAGTATTTCAAGTCGCCCCTACAAAAGCTGATAATATCTGGCTGCATTGCCTGCATTACTAATAAAGATTTTCATTTTCAATAAGATAGCTTTAAATCAGACTAACTAATTAGCATGCAGACAGGTGGATACTTATATAAACACGGCTATTAAAACACTCTTAATGGTCAATATTCTATTAATATAATAATATATGAATTTACAGTCAACTCTCAACTAACGCACCTCCTTTAATCCTTTAAATTTGAATCATCAAGTTCCCATTCAGGCCATAATTTTCTATTTATTTACACATCAAACTCTTCCTCTGCTTTTGCTTAAACTAACTGTAATATGTGCAAAGTAAACTTTTCTAACGTAAAATTTATCGAGCAAGAAACATGCAAACAATTGACAATGGGAAGTTTGTTTTTGCAATAAAAAGTTTTCTAAATTGTAAAAGTTTAATGTTGGTTGCGCTAAGCAAATCTGTTAAGCGTATGTCCTTCTCAGCAGGTGTACGCTGAACTGAGCTTTCACTGTACATTGTTGTCGCGGCATCAAAATATAGAGCAACTTCTGTGAAAACTATAACAAGGCTGCAGTTCATCAATGCATATTTGATGGCTTAAACAAAGAAATGACAGAGACTGCTTGAAGACACTTAATTGGGGGATTGATGAAAGGTGGTCATAAAAATGTAGCCACAATAAACCAGCGAAGAGCACGAATTAATGCAAAATCAATACGAAGAAAAAGTTGCCTAAAGAGACTGTTGCCCCACCCTGTTGCAAAGAGAGAATTGCACAATCGACAATTTGACAACGAATAATAAACAAAGCAATAATCGTTTACTTGCGTGGATAATATAATATAATAAGCCCGCAATTAGTGTCAATAATAGATCTGATAAAGCCGCCGCCAACTGTAGCCCCAAAAGCGTTCAGGCCAAGCAATTGGCATTGTGTAAACTCCAGCTCAAAGGATATGCTGGCATAAAAATGTATAAAAAGCGAAAGGATAATCGACTGAGTCGAGCATATTAGGCACGAGTCGAGCATGGTTCTATTCTAATTCAAGCTCTTCCTTAGCGTATCCTTCCTCAATTTTGTTTTTTTTTTTTTTCTTTTTTTGTGTGCAATCAAATTGAAAAAGTTGCTGGGGCGAAGGGCAAATCGCAATTCCACTTTTATTAATATTTCCATTTGCCTATGCGAATTTCAGCTCTGGGCTCTGAATGCAAAACTACTGCGCACTTGACTACAAATCGTAGATTTTTTTGCTTTCCTTGCCATATACGTGTGTGTGTGTGTGTGTGTGCGAATTTCCACTTTTGTTCATTTGCCACATTCCCGTTTCGCATTCTGAGTTACAGTTTCAATGGCATCGCCAAGGCTGAGTGGCTGCGTTGCCGAGAACTTTCCTAATACAAGATACTTAAAGGACGAACACAAATGATGTTGTAAGGCGACTGCCGCCCTCACCCATCCCCCCCTGCCCACTGCACATTTCTTGTCCAAAGGAAAAAGAAGAGGGAGCAAAAAAAAACTAAAGTCTTAAGTGAATTAAGAGGCAAACTTGTAACATTTTCTTTACCTCGTTATTTCTGTTTCTCAGGGATCTCAAGGTTCTTTCACTTAATGAGCGACCCTTTCGCGTGTGAAGTGTTCGAGGGGCTGCAATATTGAGTTCGTAAATAAAAACGGATTAGTTTTACGGCCCCGACCAGCGCCCAGTAAATACCTATTAATGATTTTCCTACCCACCTGTCTCAGTTTCTGTTTCCGTTTCCGTCTGCGTTTCCTGGTTGCGTCTAAATTCAAGTGCGCCGCCTGCACTCGCTCTCGCCCTCGCTCTCGTCCTCGCCTTATTTAATAAAAGAAGATTTATTGTTATGGCCCGGCAGGGTAACCAATCTAACCGCAAGCTCGCAGCCTGGCATCCTGTAGACAGAGCAGACCCGAGAAGCCAGCGAGTCAAAAGGCAGCCACTAAATAATTTTGTACAAATTCTGTGGTGCCCATTGCCACAGCTCTGGGGCTACGACTAGGGCTGGGTCAATGAAAAAGCACAGGAAATATTGGTCTAATTACTATAAATTTGCCTTTGTTGCGAGCATTTGTGTGTGTGTATTTTTAAATTGAATAACATGATATCTGCCAGAAATATCATTGCATTCTATCATAAAATAAAACAAGATGCGGAAATGAACACGATACAACATTGGCATTATAATAAAAATGGTCAAATGTAGGGTGACCCGGGCAATGCCGGGTAATTCCTTCTGGTAAATTAATACTTAAGAAGAAATCACATGTATCAAGTATTTCGTTTTTAATTTATAATAATTCTGTTTGAAAACTAAAAAGGTTTCGTTTCGTACTAAACTGTTATTCGGATTAAGTCTTGTATTATCTCTGATAATATATTTAAGGTCGATGTTTTTTTAGAAACTCCACTAAGTAGAGATAAAAGTACTATCCTTAAACTAAACATTCAAATATCTAAATACAGGCCACCAAGAACTGTCAATCTATGTAAATATATATTGCTTTGTCGTGGGTACAGGATATCTTCTAGTCGAGTAATTTACGAGGAGAGAGGTTTTCTAGTTATAAGCACTACTACTCTATCATGATTTGAAAAGAAATGTGCTTATCAGGCCTTATCTTTAAATTACCTTAACATAT